TGTGAGGTGAGAGGCCCGTTGCCCTCTGCAGGCGAGGGCAATGACGACCTGATTATGGTGATGTAGCCCGAGCAGCACCAACTGGCCGAGGCCTCTTCTGTTGGAGCGTGTGTACATAAGTTGCCACTGACCAGCCAGTTTGGGGGCTGCTTTTGTGCGGCTGCCTTCCACTGGGTGGTGGCCACCTCCCAGCCCCTGTGGTAGCAATGGCTACTCGGCCTACAGTTAAGTCTCTCCTATGCATGCCTACGACTTCTCATGTCTCTATCTAATACCCGGCATCCAAGGAGCCGTGTTCCCAACAAGGGCCCACCTGCCCAGCTGGTGTGGCTCAGTGGTTGAGCATCGACCTATGAACCAGGAGGTCACAGTTCAATTCCCGGTCTGGTTGTGGACTGGATCCCCAGTGTGGGGCGTGCAGCAGGCAGCTGATCGAGGATTCTCATCATCGATATTTCTCTCTCTCTCTCTCTCTCTCTCTCTCTCTCTCTCCCTTCCTCTCTGAAATCAATAAAATATATTTTAAAAAAATAGGGCTCACTATTCCTGCCTCAGACTAGAATTGAGCACGCACCACCCCCTCCCACCTCCCAGCGGCTGGGAGGTGGCCACCACCCACCCACAGCTGCTTGGGGCCCTTCACACTCTGTCCACAGAGCAGTGACCCACCCTGACCAGGTGGGAGGGTTTCTAAGAAGTCATCGGCCCTCCAGCAGGAAAGCCCCTCACAGCTGGGCCCCAGCAAGAGCAAAACCAATCTGACCATTTCCCCGCTGTTGAGTTGGCGCCCGGGCTGGGAGACGATGCTGGTCTAGATGGCACAAGCCACAGAGGGCTTGGCTCCTGTGGGCAGAGGTGTTGCTAGTCTTCCATCGCTGTTTGAAAAAACAACTGTGCAATTCTGTCTACTTGAAACCCTAATTCTTAAAACACATGGAAGTTGAACCCAGGCTGGTGGGTCAGGCTGTGTGTTGCTCTGAGTGGAAAGAAGTGTGTGTGGGGGGGTGGGGGGGCGGGGAGTGGAGGAAGGCTGAGCATCTTTTTTCTAAAAAAAATCCTGAATGTGCAGGCTTTGGCTTTGCTGGGATGGGTTGGGGGTTATTTCTGGTACGTGGTGTCAGGGCAAGTGTGTTGGTTTTTGTGGAGAGCGGCTACAGCATTTGGACAGGTTCAAGCCTCGGACTAATGAGAGGGCACAGTCCTCTCATGGCCACGTGCAAGTCCCAGCTTGGAGGGCAGAGCCCTCCCAGCACAATGATAGCCAAAGTTGTAAGCTTGAACCTATGGTCCGAACACGTGGCCCCACGTGCCTGAGTGATGTGGGCTTGATAGAGTTCAGGTGCATGTAGTTGGGTAGGATTGAAACCCACGAGAATGTTGTAACCACGCCCTTACTTTGCCTCGTGGAATCTGGCTATAAAATAGAGACGGCTTGGAGTCCGTGGCGCTGTCTCTCCATCAGAGAGGGCAGCGTCCCACCCAGACCCAGCTTTCTTCTCTTGTCTGTCTTTTCTCAATCCTTCACCGCCCCCTCTCAGGGTCACCCTGGGCCGTGCTGGCGCGGCATAGGTTCTGACTTTAACACTCTGGAAACTGTGGAAATATGGCCCTCTACCCCGCCCCAGGGTTGGGGAAAGGGAAGAAAAGAACTAGGGCCCTGACCGGTTTGGCTCAGCGGATAGAGCGTCAGCCTGCGGACTCAAGGGTCCCAGGTTCGATTCCGGTCAAGGGCATGTACCTTGGTTGCAGGCACATCCCCAGTGGGGAGTGTGCAGGAGGCAGCTGATCAATGTTTCTCTCTCATCGATGTTTCTAACTCTCTATCCCTCTCCCTTCCTCTCTGTAAAAAATCAATAAAATATATTTTTTAAAAAAAAGAACTAGGATTGGAAGGACCTGGTAACTCAGGAGTCCCCTCTGTTCTTGCCAAACCCCAGAGAAAGCACAGCTTGCTCTTAGGACATCATCAAACCAGAGCGGGGCCTGGGGCCTGCTGCTGCCGTGGGGTGGGGTGGGGTGGGGTCGGGGCTGAGACAACTAATGAATTCAGGAGCCTGGGCCCCTCCACTTAGTCTCCTCTAAGATACAACAGAGGCCGGAAGTAGGAACGAAGAGTCTGAACAGAGAGATACAGCACTTGACCAAGATCACATCGTTTTGAAATAGCGGCTGGGCTCAGCCTAGGTGGTGGGGGAGTGGGAGAAACCGCAGCTTGCCCTGTTTGCCAGTCCCTTCTCCTCATCCCTCCCACCTCTCCTTAAACACACACGAACCTGGGGGGTGGAGGTGGAGGCACAGACCTGACCCAGGATGCGGGGTGTGGGGGTCAGCACACTGTGCCAGAGGGCGACAGGGACCAGAGTTTTCTGCTGGTTGAGTTTTGACTTTTCCTTTATATGGGGGTGCGGTTACGGTGTTTTGGCCAGGATCAAGCCTTGGACTGATGAAAGGACAGGGTCCTCTCATTGCCACGTGCAAGTCCCAGCTGGAGGGCAGGGCCCTCCCAGCACAATCATAGCCAACAGCTATGGTTGTAAGCTTGAGCCTGTGGTCCGAACACGTGGCCCCACGTGCCTTGTGCTAGAGTTCAGGTGCATGTAGTTAAGTGAGGTTGGAACTCACGAGAATGCTGTAAACAACATGATCACGCCCCTACTTTGCCTCGTGGCATCTGCTATAAAATAAAGACACGGCTTGTGGGCGCTGGCGCTGTCTCCTCATCAGGGAGCAGCGTCCCACCGAGACCCAGCTTTCATTCTCTTGTCTGTCTTTCCTTAATCCTTTCACCCCCCTCCCCCCCCCTCAGTTTACCTTTGGCCGCAACACCTTTAGGCATTCCGAAGCAATAGATATGTTTGAAGCAGTACAAGGTATCATTTTTCTCTTTTAAAATCTCACCCTGAGCCCTAGCTGGTTTGACTTAGTAGATAGAGCATCGGCCTGCGGACTGAAGGGTCCCCGGGTTCGATGCCAGTCAAGGGCACGTGCCTGGGTTGCGGGCTTGACCCCCAGTAGGGGACGTGCAGGAGGCAGCCGATTGATGATTCTCATCATTCATGTTTCTATCTCTCCCTCTCCCTTCCTTTCTGAAATCAATAAAAATATTTTTTTAAAAACAACCTCACCCTGAAAGCCAGCATTGCAATGGGGGTGACCGGGGCTCCGAGGCTACTGCAATAGTAACCTCCAGGCAGGTCAGGGACAGCCTAGAGCCGTGGTTCTCAACCTTGGCTGCACATTAGAATCACCTGGGCATCTTTTTTAAAATCCTGATTTCTGGGCCTCCTCCTCCGGAAATTCTGTTTGTTACTAATGTTGTGGCCTCACCCCATAACAAAGAAACAGAATTTCCGGAGGAGGCCAGAAATCAGGATTTTAAAAAAGATTCCCAGGTGATTCTAATGTTCAGCCAAGGTTGAGACCCACTGGCCTAGAGAGACAGAAGCAGTACACGCAGGCTGTGAGGATTCAGGGAAAGAGACAACATCCGACTGGGCGGTGGTCCCTGAGCAGATTGCCCTCTCGTTCACGCACCTCGCTCGGCGTCCTCTGCAACCATGTCTGACAAACATGGCTGAGATTGAGAAATTCGATAAGTCGAAATTGAAGATAGAAACGCAAGAGAAAAATCCACTGCCTTCCAAAGAAACGATTCAACAGGAGAAGCAAGCAGGCGAATCGTAATGAGGCACGTGCTGCCAGTATGCACTGTACATTCCACCAGCATTGCCTTATTTCACTTCTTTTAGCTGTTTAACTCTGTAAGATGCAAAGAGGTGGGATCAGTTTGAGTGCCTGTGCTGCCCCTTTCACATCACAACTACTGACAAGGAAGGCCACACCTGCCGCTCCATCTGCCTGGCTGGCTGGCTGGCTGGCGGGGAAGGGGGACAACTTGCATGTTGGTGAAGGAACGAGCTGGGTGGGACGAGGGTGAAATCCAGAGTTAAAACCAAGCTGGTCCAAGGGGTCCCTCGGGCTGTAAAATGCAGTTTAATCAGAGTGCCATTTTTTTTTTCAAATGATTTTAATTATTGGAATGCACAATTATTTTAATATGCAAATAAAAAGTTAAAAAAAAAAAGACAACATCCACCTTTTAGCCCAGGTGAGTGGGTAGCTGTGGGCCCCTGCTGAGCTGGAGCGCGTGTGTTTAAGTGAATGGTCACAGGCCAACGTTTGGGACAGTCTTTATTGAGCTTGGAATGCAGCAGTTCACCTTGGTGAGAGGCAGACTGTGGAAATGAGCAGCGACAGTGGCGGACGCCCAGGTCCGGGCCGCATCGGGGATCCTGCTCGCCTGCAAGCAGTACTCGGGCACACGCACACACACTCACGCACACCCTCACACACTAACTCCAGGTGGCTCGGAGCGGGGAGCCCTGCCTGCTCAGTCTGCTCCCGCCCCTGGAGAGGCCTCGTCTGGCTGGGGGTGGGAGGAATCCTGAAGGAAACCACTTGAGACCAGGGCGGAAGGAGCCGGGAGCGGCAGGGGTTTTGCAGTCTGGGAGAAGGGGATCCAGGAGGATGAGAGAGATGGCGAGGGACCGAGCAAGGGGAGCCCACAGGGCCAGGGCACGGGAGATGCTGGAGGGGGGCTTGGGAGGGACGGGGTGGAAGAAAATGTCAGGTGTGTCCTCTCCTTCACTCACCCCAACCACACAGCTGGGGCCAGAGCCCTGGGCATAGAAAGCCTGGGGGGCATCCAGGGGTCCCCTGTGTCCTAGGAAGGCATTGAAACAGGGGAAAGATCCTGGAGAGCCTAGAGTCTCCCCCAAGTCCCCCAACAGGGAAGAAAGGGGGTGACAGAGCAAGAAGCGTCTTACATGCCGGTTATGGGGGCAACGAGCCTGGGGAAGCACGAACCCTGTTCTCACCCAAACACGGGCTGGGCGATGGCTGAGAGGCAGCCCCTCTGGCCGGCAGAGGGGAGCGGGCC